CACTGGGGCCTACGGTGGAGCTCCCTATGGGGCCACGAAAAACGTGTTGAGATGGTTTGGCTCGACATTTGGGCGTAGCGCGGGAAAAAACGCAGGCGGTCGCTGCCACTGGGGGCCTTTCGGTGGGGCTTCCTGTGGGCTTCCCGATGGGGCCACAAACGTTTGAGGGGTGTGCCGAATTGGGTGTGCGTGACGCATGCGGGCGGCAGCACTGGGGCCTTCGGCGGGGCTCCCTATGGGGCCACGAAACGTGTGAGGGTGTGCCGAATTGGGTGTGCGTGACGCATGCGGGCGGCAGCACTGGGGCCTTCGGTGGGGCTCCCTATGGGGCCACGAAACGTGTGAGGGGTGTGCCGAATTGGGTGTGCGGGACGCATGCGGGCGGCAGCACTGGGGCCTTCGGCGGAGCTCCTATGGGGCTACGAAACGCTGTACTGGGCGGGTGAAACGCAGGGAAGAGGGGGAGGAGGGAGGAGGCGGAGGAGGAGGAAGGAGGAAGGAGACGCGGGGCACCGTCTCTTCAAAACGAGGACCCAACACCACAGGATGGTTGGGAATTAAACAAACACGTAAGATTTAAATTAAGTGTGTTGGGTTCCTCGGTAGCGTAAGTATTCTGATTGTTGCTATTCGTGTTGTTGCTAGTCGTAGTAACCGTATTATTAATATTATTATTCGTATTACTATGACAAATACGAGTATTACGAGTACGAATAATATCATTAATCGCATAAGACGATTATTGGTATTAGTCATATTATGATGAGTAATATTAATGATACATCGGCGCTCTGAAAGTTTATTCCGACTTGAGAGTCACGGCGCCGCGCGAATGCAGCGCAAACGCTATGCTGGAAGGGCGCGACAATGCATGCCCCCTGGACAGGCGAGAGCAGCCGCGCCACCGCGCGAACACCAATCCCGCGCGGGGCGCGCTCCCGTTGACAATGGCTCACCCGGGAAACCGTTTCTTGTGCAGGAACTCCTGAACGGTCTGCCCATCGGCGGCTCCTTCGGACGAGGCCCAGAACCACCGAGAAACCGTTTTTGATAGGAAGTTCCAAACGGTTTGCCCATGCTCTGTTTCTTCGGAGTGGGCCCGAAGACCTCAAAAACGATGTTTGTTGCAAAGAATCCAAGGCGGTTTGAACATGTTCGGGTCGTTCGAACCGGACCCGACTCTTTTTGGGGCATAACTCCTATGGGATTTGGCCACTTGCAGGTCGGCCGATAAACTTTTCGGGCCGGCGTATGACCGAACCCGAAAGCTTCTTTCGACGAAGTCCGATGCCGTTTGCTCATTTTCGGGTCAGTACACCGTTTGGGATTTTACATTGTAAATTGGGAAGGGGAACCCGATCCCGCGACCCTGGGCGGGGCTTAGGCTCTGCCCTTGCATTGTACTGGGTCCCTCCGGCCAAACGGGGCGCTGGGCTGCCCATCGGCGCGCCGACTCTGTCCTCGCGACATCGTCCCCGTCCGCCCTCCGGCCCCGCGAGTCTTAGACTTGTCCTGCGCGCGCCACCCCAGATGGCCGCGGCCGGCCCGGTGGCGAAATTGGGGGAACTTTCGGATCGGCGTAGTATTAGTAGTCGTATTATTAGTACCAGTATCAGTATCAGCATCAGTATAAAGTATCAGTATCAGTCTGAATAATAATAATAATAATAATAATAATAGTAATAGTAATAATATGTGCGTTAATATTAAAAGTGGTATCGATATTAAAAGAAGTAGTAGTAGTAGTAGTAGTAGTAGTAGTAGTAGTAGTAGTAGTAGTAGTGGTGGTAGTAGTAGTAGTAGTAGTAGTAGTAATAGTAATACTAGCATTCGCATTCGTATCCGTATTATCAGTACTACCATTAGCGTTTATTCGATTATGATTAGTATTAATATGAGTATCGGAATTAGCAGTATTAGTAGTAGTAGCAGTAATAGTTGCAGTAGTATGAGTATTACTAGTAGTAACAATGGTATGACGCGTAGTAGTATCAAAAATACGATGCGTAGTGTACGTATTAGTATTACTCGTATGATTGTTGGCATCAGTATTATGATGTGTAGCATGAGTATTAGGATTAGTATTAGTGTTGCTGCTATCGGTATTAGTAATATTGATTAATGTACGATATTATTCGTATTACTGTTAGCACTCTTAGTATTATGTTATTATTCTTGGTACCATCTCTATGCTTATTTACAGTATTAGCGCATTCGTCTTATTATGATGGTTCGTATTACTATTATTGGTAATAGTAATAAGTTTCTTCTTATGGGTATACATGTTATCATTACCACTCTCATGGTTATGATCATTAATCATCATCCTCCTCCTGCTCCTCTTCCTCCTCCTCCTCCTCCTCCTCGCTCCCTTCTCCTCCTTTTCCTCCTCCTCCTCCTCCTCCTCTCCTCCTCCCTCTCCTACTCGCTCTCCTCCTCCCTGTCCTCCTCCTCCTCATCCTCCACCTCATCCCCCTCCTCCTCCCCCTCCTCCTCTCCTCCCTCCTCCTCCTCCTCCTCCTCCTCCTCCTCCTCCTCCTCCTCCTCCTCCTCCTCCTCCTCCTCCTCTCTCCTCCTCCTCCTCCTCCTCCTCCTCCTCCTCCTCCTCCTCGTCCTCCTCCTCCTCCTCCTCCTCCTCCTCCTCCTCCTTTTCCTCCTCCTCATCCTCCTCCTGTGCCTCCTCCTGCTCCTCCTCATCTTCCTCCCCCTCCCCCTCAGACAAGGACGCCACACCCGATGGCCCCGAGCGCCGCGGCGGGCCGGCTAGGGGCGGCGCAGACGCGGTCCCGAGGCCGTGCCCGACCCGGCACCGCCACAACATCCTCCTGGCGGTCGCGACGTTCGGAAGCCCAAAGTGCGATAGCATGGAGGGCGAAGAAGCGAGCCATTTTCGTGGCCCGTGTTGGGCCCTAGGGGCCCGTTAGGGCCCCTAAGGGTGTACAAAAGGTGTACCTTTCTTCACCGTCCCACTTCCGGTCGGGAACGTTTGCTTAGCGCGTCGCCACGGCAGCCCCAACGACACGCTATGCCCTGCGAGCGGATAGCGTGTCGCCCCACTGCGCGGGGCGGGAAGCTTGGAAAGGCTCGGAAAGTTGACGTTTGGGGACTGGGAAATGGTTAGCATGCCGCGCCGTGGGCAGGACAGGCGCCGCGACATGCTAAGCCAAAACTCCTCACTGTATCGCCGCCCCCATTACGCAACGGCCGAACTCCATCCCCTGCCCCTCCCCCAACGGGTGGCGCAGCAGCGGACACCGCCTACGCCATAGCCAGGGAAAGGATTTCCCAGCTCCCCCCCCCCCGGCTTACCAGACGAGGCGGAGAACGGGGAGGAAGGAGGAGGAGGAGGAGAAGGTGACAGAAGAGGAAAATAACGGGGACGAGGAGGGAGAGGATGAGGGGGAAAAAGGAAGAGCGACGCAAAGCTGAGCAGCGCCGCGGGAAGAGGCGGAAGAATGCAGGAATGCAGTAAGAAGACTGCGTCTGCTTACAAACACAGCTCTGCCAGAGACCCTTGCTGGGAGGTAATCAAGAACGTAGCAGGAGACCCTACCTGCAAGACGGACCTGGAAACAAAACTACCCCTGGACCGTAGGCGCAGAGAGTGGAAGCCGAGCTTTGGGATGACGGCCAGCTTCCAGCTGGGCCACGACCCGTCTCAGAGAGGGAAGCAGATCCCGAGGGCCAGGGCAGGGGGCCAGAAAGGCCTTGCCCACCCTGACGGACCCGTAGGCCCCGCACCGCCAACACCAGACGACCGCAGCCGCGACGGCAACGTCGTGGCCCTCGGGTGTCAAACTCCTGGAAGACTGCCTCACGACAGGCCCCCGCGGGCCAGAGGACCCACCGCAGGAGCCCCGAGCCCGCCCCCGCGGGCAGGACCAGCCCTCGCCGACAGGCCCAGCAGGAGCCGTCCCAGAGACCATCCCCGCAGAGCAGGGGGCCCCAGCCTCGCCCCTGAGAGCAGGCATAGGCCCCTCCCCAAGGACCCCAGCCGAGCAACCAGCCGCAGCCGACACAAGCCCTGCAGAAGCAGGAATCCCGCCCAACAAGGTACCCACAGAGTCCCCCCCCCGGCCCCTCGCCCCGAAACCCAGGGGGGACCTCGACGGGGGGATCGGCGTCAGCCTCGAAAATCTCAGCCTGCAGCTCAGAGATCACCGATGGACGGCACAGCCTGTCCGTACCACCAACAAGCTGCCGTCTCGACTCGGCAGCGCACGCAGCTCTTCGACACCTGCGGCACAGGACCCCCCCGGGCTTCTCAACAAAGAAAAGCCCATGCCACGCGCGGCTGATATGTCTCGGGTGCTCGGGCTTCGTAGACGAAGCATCGGTACTTGCGAGCTCCGCTTTGTCAGCCCGCAATTCCAACCTGCAACTCCACTGGACAACCCTAGTCTGGTTCTTCGCGGACTGCCGGGCCCCAATAAAGGCATCATTAACGAACCTGGCGTGCCCTTCTGGGAAATTCACAGACAGGGCCCCTAGCTTGGCCAAAAAATCCGCCCAACTGTTCCCGACGGGAGGGGGAGGGGCCTCAGGAGCAGGGAAGAGGACCTCGTCATCCGCCACGCGGGCAGGGCACCAGCCAAACCTAGGAGGCCCACGGTCGCGAGCCATGAGCTGTCTCAAAACTGCTTGGCACGCTGCCCTGGCATCCACATTTCTCCGCGGCACCAGCACGCCAAGCCTCGCCTTCTCGCGCAAACTCAAAGAGATTGGACACGATGAAACAAATCGAGCGCATTCTCCTCCAGACGGTCTGCTAAGCGCCCGCGAGCCCGCCGTGCACGGCGCGAGCGTGGACTTCGCTGGCGCCCAGCATCACCGCGCAGCGCCGCAGCGCAGAGACATCCTTGTGATAAATCCTGAGCCGTCAGGCATCCAGGAGCACGATGGCCATCGCTGGGCCCGTCGAGCTCCGCCCTCGGGTTGCGGCGGAACGCCGCCGCCGTCGAAGCCCCGACTGCGCCGCCGGCCCCCCCGCAAGTTGGGGGCGCCCATCTGCGCCGGCCAGCTACGCGCCACAGCAGACCTCACTTTAGCCCAATGGCGAAGAAATGCGCTGACACGCGCCATCAACCTGCAACCCCCCCCTCCTTGGGTAGACGCACCAAGGTCGCGCATATCCCGGCGGGCGGACACTCCCCCGGGCTTCTCGCGCTGACTGAACAACGCCGACAACACGAACGTGCCAATGTCGCTGATGAGAAACAGGAGCAGCCCGGGGGCAATGCCCGACTGCCCCACTGCCGCCCCCACTTTGAAGCGCAACACCGTCGACCTCTGATGGCCGATGCCCATCCTCGGCCGCTCGACCTAGTCGTCGAAGTTAGGAAGCTTCGCCAGCGCCTTCTGCTCGCGGCAAGCCCAGACTTCCGCCCACTCCTTCAGCCCCTCGCCCACCATCTGGCGCGGGCCCCCCTGCGTCGCAGCACGCCGCGCCTCCGGAGCAGGAGGCACCCTCGAGAACCTATGTGCCCAGCTCGCACTACTGGTAGCCCAGCGTCGCCACTTCTGCTCCCGCTCCTTCACATACGCGCCGGTCAGCCTGCCGGAACCCCCCGCGATCTCCCCCGCCGCGCTCGACCACCATGGCCCGGCCATCTGCGGTAGCCCACCTGCGAAACACGCAGCCACCTCCATCGCCAAGTGGCCCCTGACCTCGACCACCTGGGGGATGCGCTCGCAGCACCTGCGCGTCTCGACCAGCATTCCAATGATCGCGCCCAGCTTGTCCGTCAAGCACACCGCCAAGGCCATCATGAGTCGGCCTCGGCCCACGTCCAAGTGTCTCGCCCACCTCGCCGCTACCATCCACGCACTCACCTTCGGGTCGCGCAGCCTCTTCCCGCGCGGCGGTTCCCATGCGGGCTTGACCCTCTTGATCTCGGGCCCCTGGCCCCCGCGCCCGCAACGCCGTCGGCGCCCCTTCTCAACGAAGAGCCACCTGCCACTCAACTCCGCGCTCGCTGACATGACTACAGCATTCCAAGCCGCCGCCAGACTCTCGCCACCCCGGGCACACGCAACCTTCCAGAACGCCCGCTTCCAGAGCTTCTCCCCTGGGGGAGGCGCGGCGCCCACCTACGCCACTGGCGGGAGACCCCGCGGCCCCGCGGCAACCTTCACGCACGCCTCGCGGCCCGCCATCAGCAACGGCACATGGGCGGCGCGGCGAGGGCAGAGAGCCAGCCCGGAGTCTAATATAGGGGGCGCGATCACGCAGTCCACGCAGGAACCTGGAGGCAGGCTCCTCCGGCACAATGGGCGCCCCCTGGGCGGCCTCCATCCACGGGCCCTGCAACACTCCAATCTCTATGCGCAAATTCCACTATCGCCGCCCAGTCGAGCCCACGCGCGTCGAGGACCCCCAGGTAGGCCATCAGCTCGTAGACTGCGTCAGGACAATTCTCCGCCCATGCCCACCGCGCGCCTCAAGTGCGCGACGACCGCGATCAGGCCCCCCCCCCCGCGCCCCAGTGGAAGTGCACTGCCATCAGCCCCGCCCCCCCCCCCATCGCGCGGTTCGGCTAGAAGGGCAGCGCCGCTATGGAGATCGCATCCCACGTCAGCAGCGCCACTCCGCCCGACGCCCCAGCGCGCCTACGCCCGTCGCCCTGGCCGGCGCCCACAAGCCGTGGAATCCGAGGACCGCCCCCCCCGCACCGAGCTTACCTCATCGCCCCTGGCCTTGCGCCCCTGGGCCGCAACAGGCCGCCCTCGGGCTCGTCGGCGCGGTGCCTCGCCAAGCCCTTCGCGCGCGAATCATCGGCCGCAATAAGAGCACGTTTGGCGGCCCCCGCACCACCCTTCACTGCCACATCATCTGACCTCATCGTCATAGCCATCATGGAAGCACGAACTGCACAACAAAGCACAAATAGCCCACGTACTCGAAGCCGCCACCAGCTTGCGAGCCGCGCTGCGAACCTGGCCATCGTCGGGAGGCACCTCGACCTCTGCTTCCCCCGACCTGGCCCGCAGCACCTCAATCGTCCGCCGCATCCTTGCAGCAAGAGGACAAGGACGGACAGCAGGCGGCCCACGCAGCACCCGCTCCTCTTGCGCCGGGTGGGACAGGGTCTTCTCGGCGACCTCACCCGTGGCACCCAGCTCCGCGAGCAGCTTGCCAAAGAGATCAAGGTCGGGCCCGCGCTTGGCGTCCTCCTCCATCGCCTCGCGGGGCCTTTGAGACCACGCCATTGATATCCCTCGCCTGCTGCGCCAGCGTCGAAGCCTCAACCCGCTGCGCCACGACCTGCTTGTGCTCCTCCCCCAGTTTCTCGTAGCCTTGGCCACCGCCTCGGTCGCCTTGGCCAACGCCAGCTCCTGGCTTGCGATGGCCACTTGCTCGGACTGGAGCTTATTTTGCAGCAGGAACAGTTGCGTGATCAACCGCTTCTTCGACCTGATCGGGTCGACCAACTGGCGCTTCTGCTCCTCAGCGTGCTCGATACAGCCCTGGATGTAGGTCGGGCACTTGATCTACTTGAGACTTCGAAGCTGCCTTTCCTGAACCTCCAACTGCGTCTTCTGAGACTCATCACCATCGTCATCTCCCTTCGCTGCCGCCGTTGCAGCTACAGCGAGAGGGCCTAATTTCGTGGTAGTAGATGCACGCAGAGCCTTGACCTCCTCACGCAGGCGAGCCAACTTGCATGCCCATGTGCTTCGCGGCACCCTCTGGCCAGCCATCTGTGCCTCGCTGCCCAGAGGAATGGACCATCCTGGTTGGCTGACGCCGACGTCCTCCCTCTTCACCTCGAACATGACCCAAGGAACACTCGGACTTATCACTAAACACGGCATGCCCAGCGTT